GTATCTCTGCTGAGAGGCAGCTAGCCTCGTCAAATCTTCTGTTTTCGGTGGCCATATCTAGCGGCTATAGAGAAGGATGAAGCAAATTTCTGAGCATTACACACATCCTTCAGTGGATAGGTGGATTCATGCCTAAGCTGGTGAATGTCATACGAATCCTGTTATTTTGTGCTGAGCTTTTCTCTGCAGTCGGTCCATTCAGGCTGATTTAACTTCTCAAGTAAATAAAGTTATCGATCGAAGTAATAGAACCTTACATTTTAATATGTTAATATTTTTGATATACTACTAAGCATGATTAACTTTTATAAGGTAGCGATCGTTTGGGTTTTATGTTTTAAAGCTTCAAAGTAAGATGCTTATCTGTATATCGTTTCCTAAAAAAGTAATAATAAGTAGAGAGATCTATTGAAACCCCGGGCCACAAAGTGGCTTAAACCTATTTTGTGTTCAAAACTAAAATTGTTCTCACATTCGATCTGCCTTATTAATTCAATTTCAAAAGCAACGACAATTCAGATATTAACATTGATGTATTTTTTGATGTTAACCTTTTGTACTCGGTTAATTTTCATCAAAATGTGTGTATAACAAATCCGTGTATAATTTTAGAGTGGTTGAAATATGTTGCACCCAGTATATATTTATTTTATTTTACACTGGTACATTAATTATATGATGCTAACTAGCTAGTGAAATCAGGTTGAGTGAAACAGTAAACTTAAAATTCACTACATGTGTTTAAAGTAATTAACTCGTTAGATCAATTTTTGATTACAGTTTAATTTAAATAGGCGTGTAAAATATGGGCACTGTAGTACTGCAACGACAGAAGACAAGAGCCAGGCAACAGATCGTTTTTTTTGTTGAGAAAATCCAGAGATATTTATAGATTTTTATGTATGTATCACCAGAGAAGCAACGTCATCTGATTGGTTGTTTTCTTGCTGAAGGTTATTCTGTTATCCCCTTGTGACTATTTCTTAGAAAGTTAGACCATATATCTGCGAATCGTATTTGCATACTTTAAGTCTACTGTGATTGGTTGTTGAGTTCCTAAAGGTTAAGCCTTGTTATTGTTTTTTCTCATGGCATCGATTCGGGACGTAACATTGATGTAAATTGTTGTTTACAATTTTGGCTAGCAGACAGCTCTCACCACAGTAGTAGTAGTGTAACAACAGAAGACAAGGGCCGGCAACAGATCGTTTTATTACGGAAATCAGCGCGTATTTATATATATTTCATGTACATTATTATAGCTTATTCAAGTAGACAAACGCAGTCTTCTGATTGGTTGTTTCGGGTAACATCGAAAAGTGGAGCCATCTATTTGCTGATCATATTTTGCCACGTTAAGTCTGCTGTGATTGGTTGTTGAATCAGCCTTGTTCAAATTTTCTCACGGCCAATATTAGCGCCACAGACATTGACGTAAATTAGTGTCTACCAATTGGTTAACACCCTGCTATCACCACAATAGTTGTCCTAGCTGTCTCATTTGATGTAGCTTCATAACTTCATCGATTGACTTACCCTCATCGCCTAACACTCTCCGCCCAACCTCAATATTGGTCCCCTTATTATAGTATTCAAACACAGGATATAGAATGCAAGCATCTATAGTCAAAGACAGCTGAGTTGTATCTCACAACTATAAAGAGAGGGACAGAGCGAACTTCTGCACAATATACACATTCTTTAATGGATAGACGGATATCATGCCTACGCTACAGATGATGTAAGTTGGTGAATGTCATACGAACTTTATGTAACCGTGCTGAGATTTCTTCGGCAGTCAGTCCATTAGGGCTAAGAGAACTCAAATAAGTAAAATGTTCGCTCGAAGTAGTTGGAACTTTACATTTGAGGATACTGATATTTAACATACTACGGCTAATTAACTTTTAGAAGATAAGATAGTGATCATTTAAGATTTATGTGAGTGAGAAGCTGCCTCATTACGTTTCCCCAAACAACGTATTATTTAAATATGTAATAATAATACTAGTAAATAGCGAGGTTTATCAGAGAAGGCCTGATCACAGTAAGAGATGAAACTTATTTTTTCTTGTTTGTTCAATTTTGAAACTAATGGCAATTTAAATATTCATATTGGCGTATATTTTTTGTTGTTGCCTGTGATGTTAACCTTTTGTACTCGGTTAATTTTCATCAAAATGTGTGTATAACAAATCCGTGTATAATTTTAGAGTGGTTGAAATATGTTGCACCCAGTATATATTTATTTTATTTTACACTGGTACATTAATTATATGATGCTAACTAGCTAGTGAAATCAGGTTGAGTGAAACAGTAAACTTAAAATTCACTACATGTGTTTAAAGTAATTAACTCGTTAGATCAATTTTTGATTACAGTTTAATTTAAATAGGCGTGTAAAATATGGGCACTGTAGTACTGCAACGACAGAAGACAAGAGCCAGGCAACAGATCGTTTTTTTTGTTGAGAAAATCCAGAGATATTTATAGATTTTTATGTATGTATCACCAGAGAAGCAACGTCATCTGATTGGTTGTTTTCTTGCTGAAGGTTATTCTGTTATCCCCTTGTGACTATTTCTTAGAAAGTTAGACCATATATCTGCGAATCGTATTTGCATACTTTAAGTCTACTGTGATTGGTTGTTGAGTTCCTAAAGGTTAAGCCTTGTTATTGTTTTTTCTCATGGCATCGATTCGGGACGTAACATTGATGTAAATTGTTGTTTACAATTTTGGCTAGCAGACAGCTCTCACCACATTAGTAGTAGTAGTAGTATGTAGCTCCATCTTAATTCTCCTATTCGATGTAGTCAGACATACAGTGAAGTTTCGGAAATAGTTTGTTGTTCATAATCATATCGTCAATTGTAATTACACAACTCTGAAACTCGTGTCTTCCTCCGGATTTGTCGTTTATGGATAGTAGAATTTTTCGGATGTTTTGCATTGACAGCTGTTGTGTTGCTCATGTGTCCTCAGTTGATTCGATGAATAAAGCTTCAATTGCTCTCTCCATTATGGAAAAGATTTTATTTTGATAACGTCACACAGTGTAGTGTTATACAGTAATATTAACTGATCACCACGTTTCGAGCACGAATTATTCACACTCATGATCATATCAAGCCATTCACACAACTTTTTGCTTTATTTGCATACATGAATGAAAATTGATGATTAGACATTTGAATAAAATCAGTCAATCAATATTCGGAAAAAATATTAGTGTTATCAATCAAGTACAATCAGATGGGAAATAAGACGAGTGTTTTTATAGTCAAAATAAGTAAATTGTTAGAATGTTATTATGTGAATTGAAATACATTCTAACATTCAAGTGTTGGTTTGTAGGGATTTGATTGGTTTACAGGATTTCAACATGAGCTGACATTAGTTAGAGAACCATTGGAAAACCTGGGGGTACTGGACATCTGTCTTGTCCTAGTTTGGGACTCTTCACCAGTACGCACCCACCGGGATTCGGACCCAGGACCTTCTGGTCACAAGGTGTGCTCATATACCATTAAGCCACTGGGACCCGATCCAATGGCCCATGAATTCTAACTTCTGCCGATTCACGACATAGCGCGACCCCTAGCCAATGTCTTCGGCGAGTATTTGTCCTCACACCCAACCAGCTGCCTTGTAACCAGAAGGTCCTGGGTCCGAACCCTGGTGGTGGGTACGTATTGATGAAGAGTCCCAAACTGACGAAACAGCTGTCCAGTACTCCCAGGTTTTCCAGTGGTTCTCTAACTAATATCAGCTCATGATGAAATCCTGTAAGCATTCTAACATTATTTATTATCCTCCTCTGATTTGACTGGTAATAATATCTTCCATATCTCTGGTATATGCGTTGAATCACTTCTATTGCATGTGTTAGGTGTAGACGCGATGAATCAGGCAGGATTCAGTAATCAATCTCTCTCGCTCCCCACCTATCTGAATTACTTTTTAGAATTTTGACTCTGTCCCATCTACCTTATTGTGTGGTTTTGTGTTAATGCATGTTATGCGATTGATGAGTTTTGTCCGAATTATTTATTTTCGTGGAATCAATCATTCTAGCCTTAGCTAAATTCTTATGTTCTGATAATCTCACTACTCCTGATCTTGATCCATATGTGTGTATTAACATCTAAGGATCCCAAAACATTCTAATTCAAGAATAAATGGTTTTCGGCTTAATCATAATTTACAACTCTTCAGCATTACAAACCAAGATTATCGTCAGAGAATATGTCAAAAGCAGTCAAATATCATGGAATGCAGTTTACCATTCACCAGATTACTGTTATTATTCGTGAAAAGATGAGTAATTTAAAAAGGAGCTCATCACTACATTACACTGCATCCATTAACACAACCAGAGTCAAAATTCTAAAAAAGTAATTCAGGTAGGTAGATAGAGAGAGATATTGATTGCTAAATCCTTCCTGGTTCATCGCGTCTACACCTAACACATGCAATAGAAGTGATTCAACGCATATACCAGAGATATGGAAGATATTATTACCAGTCAAATCAGAGAAGGATAATAAATAATGTTAGAATGTATTTCAATTCACATAATAACATTCTAACAATTTACTTATTTTGACTATAAAAACACTCGTCTTATTTCCCATCTGATTGTATTTGATTGATAACACTAATATTTTTTCCGAATATTGATTGTCTGATTTTATTCAAATGTCTAATCATCAATTTTCATTCATGTATACAAATAAAGCAAAAAGTTGTGTGAATGGCTTGATATGATCATGAGTGTGAATAATTTGTGCTCGAAACGTGGTGATCAGTTAATATTACTGCATAACACTGCACTGTGTGACGTTATCAAAATAAAATCTTTTCCATAATAGAGTTATACTCTATTACAGTGCCCGAGTTTTATACATTATTTTTTAATAGTTATTATTGATTAGAAATGTAGTTCAATGGTTGTTAATTTTTAACCTTGTTTTTTTCGTTGTTGAATATTATTTCAGTACTGCGATTTGATTATAATGGCAACAAGAGTTCCACTACTTGCTGCAGGAGGTCCTTTAATCTTCCGTCAATTATTTGAAAAAGTCTCATGTACATACACATATTTATTGGCTGATGCCCGAACCAGAGATGCTGTGTTAATCGATCCTGTCTTAGAAACTGTTGAGCGAGATACTAAAGCTGTAAGTTATTTTCATATACTTTGTTTTCAAAGATTTCCTGTCGTTCCACGCGGAACATAAGGCTTCAAGCATTGAGGTTTTAAGTTTGTGTGGTGGTGGCGTCGTTTCGTTTTTATGGAGTGGTGGGGATATCAGCCTCACTCCCGATACGCACCTCTTTTCTGAGCTTACTGCCGATCAGGTGTGGTTTAAGAGAGTACGTCTTCAGGGGACCAAACGCGGACCGAGTGTATGGTTTGCAAGTATTGTACCACTGAAGCATCAACGTAAGCTTTAATTCACTGTACGCAACGTGAAGTCCGCAAACGTATTCTGGAACATTGTCCAGCTTGGCTATCCAAAGGAGAAAAGAAGAAGGCCAGTAGTTCTATCCTCAAACACCTCCTCACAACTGCTTCACAGTGTTACACAGAGTTCCTCAATATCTCACGAAAGGACTTTGAATATGCCATCTATACACATACGAATCATTGGCTATTCGGGATCTGAATCCTGACCTCTGAGTTTAAAAGCACTACATATATTCACTCGCTCCAGCGTGGTCAGAGTAACATTTTTACCGTAACTTTGCTTCCGTTCATTATCTAAGTTTACTATTATTATTATTCTCATCATCCTTATTTTATTATCACTCTACTACACTTCGTCTTCTGTCCGCTAGTTCTTGTATTCTCTACATTGATATTGATCAGCCATTTTTTCACACTTATTACGTCATCCCAACTTCTGTCCCACTTTCCAACTTCCAATGATGGAACATTTACCAAAATGGTTGAAAACAACTGAGTGCAAAGTGCTAAAATCCTCAATAACGAAACATCTTGTGGATTACGGACATGATATCGACGCGGTCAAGTCATTCACCATTGTCAGCAGAGAAAGAAACAAGAAAATGCTTGCAATTGCAGAGGCTTGTACAATTCGAATTTATAAACCAGGTCACTGTATACAAAAGGAGATGGTCATGACTCTGAATCTACCATGGTAATACGTTTTACTTATTATTCTACCTCTTATTATTATTATTTTTATCGTCATTATTATTATTATTCTTGATTCATTTAAAACTATCCCTTATCAGTAGGATTACCTTGACTCACTTCAACACTATTATTATTGTTATTGTTATTATAACCATTATTATTGATATAACTCTGTTTGCAATTCTTGTTATATTCTCTAATGTCTAATTGTTTATCTAAGTGATGTAATTCAAGCGTAATGCAATTTATCTTAATTTTGATCTCTCATACTCTCTCTCCCGTTATCTATTTGAACATGACCTGGAAAACATTCACACCTGTCTTTCTGCACGACTAATTCAATGTACTGTGTTTACTTATCAGTCTTATATCCCCCAATGTAATTTCAGAAGTATATATATCCGTGTATGTAGGGTATTCAGCTGACGAGTTCTACCGAAATTTGATGAATTCATTAAATCCTGCTTTATTAAACTTTATTGCTTTTTTTCAACTTCCAACTATTCACCCCTTCTATATTACCCCGTAAATTACGTAATACGTTTTGGAGGACAAATTTTACCAGTGTATCTGATTGGTCTTATGAATTTTTTTAATTGATGGATAATGACTAGCAGTGGACTGAGCACTTCGGTCCAATCAGTCGACGGGAAAATCTAAAATTCAGTTAAATTATGAATTCTTTTTTAAATATAATTACGATTGTACAACAGCTTATGAAAATGAATCGTTGAAAAGAAAATTTTCTTCGCTGTTTACGTCTTTTTCCTAGGACTCATTATTGGAATATTTCGTTCATTTATTGTTTTTAACTAATTTAATGCTTGTAATAGATTAAATTAGGTCGCATTTAACACTTCTGTGATGATAAGTTAAATTGCTTTCTCATCTCTTTTACTCGTATTTGTATGTATGATGATACTTAGGCAGATGTTTTATTGTGTTATGTAAATTTACAATATTATCGTATCTAACTGCTTATATACACCGGATAAACCTCACGAGAACATCGTAGGAATTCTATATTCAACCGCCGAGGAGAAATCCAATGAAAGAAACTACAAAGGTTTGAAGAATCTCCGACCATAGGTGGTCAACACACTGTAGAATCAGGGGTCACAAAATTAATTTTGATAATGCTGTGAGCATCTAGAAGAATTTCGACAATCGCATAGAACATCTCATATCAGAAGCACTTCATATTAAGCGGAATCTAAATTGTCTGAATAGAAATGATGGATTAAAGCAGAATTTGACTTGGTTACGGTACCGCCATCCCCCTCCACAAATGTGTTAAGCACCTTTATTACGCAAACACATGCTGTGGGGAGAGCAGGCCGTGAGAAAATATGAGCAAGGCTGATTCAACAACCAATCACAGCAAAGTTAACGTGGCAAAATATGATTCGCAGATAGAGAACTCTATTTGTCGAGGAATCCCGAAACAACCAATCAGAAGCCTGCGTTTGTCTGCCTAACTTCTGATAAACAACCAATCAGATGACTGCGCTTATCTACTTGCATAAGCTATAATAATGTATGTGAAATATGTATAAATACGTGTTGATTTTCATAATAAAACGATCTGTTGCCTGGCTCTTGTCTTCTGTTGTTACAATGCTATTTTGATTGGTTGGAGGATTTCATCATGAGTTGACATCAGTTAGAGAACCATCGGAAAACCCACCAGGTAGTGCTGGACATCTATTTCGTCCTAGTTTGTGACTCTTCACAATACTCACCCACCGGGGTTCGAACCCAGGAACTTCTGGTTACAAGGCTAGCGAGCTCGTAGTCCATTGAGCCATTGGGACCCGACTCCTCAGTGGCCAGTCCATGAATTTCGACTTCTGCCAATTGACGACATAGGGCGACCACTTCGCTATGTCTTCTTCGATGAGTTAATAATGCATAGATACACCAAATCCAACAGTCTGCACATAGTTTGTAATCTTTACCCATTCGCCCAGTTGACAATATCAAAGTTACGTCATGCTGAAGAATTATGATTAAGTTGCTTAATGTATATAAGTTGAGATTTTGTAAATTTTGGTTTTTAATATTACCTTGACAAAGATATTAGCAGCACTAAATAGCAAAACGTCAGGGAAAACAGTATCGTTCTATCTTTTATTCTCTGGGGGAAATATATCAATCTTTGATTGGATCCTAACTAGTGTCATGTCTAGTCCTTTGTTTACTGCAGACTGAATTCTGTCCGCCAAGTCTGCGATGTGGTCACTATGCCACTACTAGGTGACTCGCCATCACGATGCACTCAGAACTGTTGTTATTAGATGGTTAGAGGCAATCAGTAGGAAGCCTCACCTGACCTCTAGGTTTCGTGCTTGTTGGCACTCATCAATCAGCAAGGCGTATCTGCAATCTTGACACTAGTTGGTCTCCGATCAAATTATCCACTACACAGTCCTACAGTAGGTCAATCATCATCGCGGATGACTCAGTGGTACTGTCTGCGACTGCATCACTGAGTGACACGGATTTGAACCTCAGAAGGGAAATGATTGCAGTTACTCTTTGCTTGACTGAGGGGAGTGCCATCAAAGCACGAAACCTAGGTCAGGTAAGGCTTACTTCTGATTGCCTCCAACTATCTAGTAATATAATCAGTGTTGTTATTGTTACTTTTCTCTTGGGTTCTGAGTGGAAAATAGGAGGTTCAACAGCACATAGCCATTTGAATCTGTTTTATGCAGTCTCTTTTTTTTTAACTGTCTCCGTGATTTCCTATAAGCTTTCATTTCTTCTTCAAATATTCTGCTAAAAATGTCACCCTTGGACGCCTTACTTGGCGCTTTCCATTCATGTTACATTCAACGACCTGGTGTGGTGAGAGCAGGCTGCTAGCCGATTGGTTGGCACTAATCTACGTTAAGGTCTAGGTCACTAATATGGGCCGTGAGAAAATATGAACAAGCCTGAGTCAACAACCAATCACAGCAAAGTTAACGTGGCAAAATATGATTCGCAGAGAGAACTCTATTTGTCAAGGAATCCCGAAACAACCAATCAGAAGCCTGCGTTTGTCTACCTAAACAACCAATCAGATGACTGCGCTTGTCTATAATAATGTAGTTGAAAGATGTATAAATACGTGTTGATTTTCATAATAAAACGATCTGTTGCCTGGCCCTTGTCTTCTGTTGTTACATTTGGTGTCGCTGCCTACCGACAAATGGAAAGCCTATGCCCTGCTGTTTTCGATGGAGACATATGGATCTTCGGGCAGGACTTCAAGGCTTCTGCGCAGTTGAGTGGCGTTCAAGATCTGTCAGCGATGGAGCTGCTACTTGGGACGCTGCTGGGAGGTCGGGTGAAAGCAGCATATGAAAGTGTGAGCCGAAGTATGGACGAATGTTCGACAGGGTCAGGCAAACAGTTTCCAAAGTGGGAAGGACCATATATAGTCACTTCGAGATGGGGTTACGCAGACACAGTCGCAATGGCGAACAATAAGAGGCGCGTGAACGTCAGCGAGCTCCAGAAATGGATACAGCGAGACAAGCCAACGATGACGCCTACACCAAGTAGATCAAGCCGACTTCAGTCGCACGTATTTGACGGGGGGACGAGTGTGGTGAGAGCAGGCTGCTAGCCGATTGGTTGGCACTAATCTACGTTAAGGTCTAGGTCACTAATATGGGCCGTGAGAAAATATGAACAAGCCTGAGTCAACAACCAATCACAGCAAAGTTAACGTGGCAAAATATGATTCGCAGAGAGAACTCTATTTGTCAAGGAATCCCGAAACAACCAATCAGAAGCCTGCGTTTGTCTACCTAAACAACCAATCAGATGATTGCGCTTGTCTATAATAATGTAGTTGAAAGATGTATAAATACGTGTTGATTTTCATAATAAAACGATCTGTTGCCTGGCCCTTGTCTTCTGTTGTTACACTGGTACGTGATACCATTCAACAATCTCAGTGTGTGTCTAACCATCTCCATTTCTTTCTGCATGTTTGTTGAGTGATAGGTTCTTAGTTGCTTCCTCCTCACTTGCCAGAGTTCCTTGTTGCTTATCCTTTCTAGTCGGCTGGCCATCTGATCTTCAGTAAGAAAGGAGTGTAGGCAGGTGATTTGGAAAATGCTTTCGGTGACACACTCCCAAGTCTCTGAACACTGATTGAAAACTCACAGATACTGTTCCTCACACTTAGTGGAGCTGATATCCACACTGATTTCAGATTAATGAACGTTCATCCTACTTTCCTGATCTTAGCTATCTTTGATTTTTTCATTGATTTTTTTTACTGTAGTTCGACTTTGCTGCCTGTTTAGATGGGTGATAGAGGTGACTTCCTTTGAATTTCTCCTGTTGATGGTGACTGGTGCTTGTTGTTGTTGTTGACTAAGTATCCTCATCGCCTCCGTCGTCTCTATGCTCACCTGAAGTCCTGTCTTTGCTGTTTCTTTAGCCAGATTTTGAGTTTTCTCTTGTAGGTCTTCGAGTTTGTGTGACATTAAACATCTTCTATAGCCTTTTCCTTAGTCCAACGTTATCCCGTCTTTTCTCTGCTCTTCATGGTCTGAGATTGCAGAAGAATTAAAAAGATTTAGTATAGAAATGCTTCTCATGTATGCTGCACTTTTAGTGGTCAATAACTCAGGTGGCATTTATCTCTATCCACTACTTTTTGAAGTCACCATACACCAATTAACTTCTAATTATATCGTCGAATCATCTGCACAAGAAGCCGACATGTTAACCTGAGACCGAACACTTCGATCCGATCAATCGACCGCAAAATCTAAAATTGAATTAAATAATTAGTATGACCCGTTGCAAACGAGGTGGCTGTCGTGGCCCAAGTGTTCTAGTGGATAACACTTTGGCGTTTGAAGCTATGGGCACTGGGTTCGAGCCTCGGTGGGAAAATCATCACCACTCACTGCGGGATACAGGTACATCCAGGTGACAAGCCCCAAACAGGAAGAAATGCGCATCCTGGTGGATTCCACTGCTAGTCACCATTCACCAATTAAATTCGAGGTAAATCTTTATTTAGTTCATGAATTAATTACTGAAAATGGGACACATAGTATGCTATGCTGTGCTTCAGTTATGTACAAAGAATCGCTAATTATTTTTTAATTGCTAGTTTATAGGGATTGATTTGATTGGGTTCAAATTTTGATCATGGATTGGTATCAGTTAGAGAACCGTTGAGAGAAGCAGAACAACTGTTTCGTCCTCAACAAAATATGCACACATGATCCTACCTCCAGGGATAGAATTCATAACTTTCTGCAGGTCAGCTCACTGACTACTCAGTCACTGGAAGGGGGGAATCCAACGGCCAATGGAAAACTTTTAACTTATGTCAATTCATGACTTTTAACACTATCGCCACCAGCCAATAACACCAGCTGGAATTTTAAAATAATGTACTTTATGTATTACATTGTAGCTAAATCAATTGAATCTTAAACTTGGTCCTATAATTAATACTCACCTGCATGCAGATCATGTCACTGGTAGTGGATTGTTGAAACGAATTCCTGGTTCTTACAGTGTACTTGGTCATTATGATGGGGCTAAATCTGATATGAAGATACGACCTGGGGATCGTATTAAATTTGGTAACTTTGAATTAGAATGTCGTAGTACTCCAGGTAGGTGTTTTCATACCTTCCATTATTATTTTTATTAGTATTAATATTCCCTTGGGTTCCGAGTAGAATATAGAACTTTAACAAGCTTTTTCTATTCCTTTACGTTCCAAGTGGAACACAGGGCTTCAGGTTAGAATTTTGAAGTTTCGGCAGTACTGGTTTTGTTCTAACGGGTAGGGTTGCTAGCCTCACGCTCAACCTTCCTTTTTTACTACTGGCAATACTACCGACTTAGCAGAATTTAGGAGTGCGTCGGCCGAGGATTCAACCCCGAACCTTGTGCATAGTTGACGAGCATTCTACCGCTCAACTACCGACGCATCCATACTTCACCTAACATCACTTATCGAGAAAGCTTGCACCTCAACATACCTGACCTAACCACCCTAATTGGTTGAGACTTCCCCTGCTTATCTAACACTCTACAACTAACTTAAGCTACGTAGGAAGATGTAGACTTCCTGGTTGGGGTCCTCGGGACGGTAAAAACCAAAGGCGACTGGAAACAATTGGTGATATGGCTCAAAATCGTTCTCAAGGGCTAGCACAGATGCATCCACTCCTTGTGACTCATAATACCGAATAAAACTAAATTGTCCTTCGATATTACTACTCTTTTTGCCTCATATCTCTGTTTACTGTCTCTCTTTTGCACTTCTACTTTCTTCTTTTGCTTTGTGTGCTAAATTGAGGGAGTGTGGCGACTCGAACTGCTCCACATCGGTGCAAAGTTCCATGTTGAAACTAGTCAGTCAGTCAGTCAGTCAGTCAGTCAGTCAGTCAGTCAGTCAATCAGTCGACTAACTTTGTTACCTATCATGTTACTTCAAATAATGCACGTATGTGATTGAAATCACCTATAGTCAGCATATTAATATTTACATATATTCTGTCTTGAGGTGAAATATCTTATAGCAGAGAAGTGGGAGCGAGAAAATTACTGCACAATAATTGAATATTACACTTGTCTTCAATGTCAAATGACCCTTTAACTTTTCGATTAGGAATATTAATCAACACATTTGTTCATTTCACTCCCTTCCCTTAAAACTGGAAGTTAGTGCAGATCAGGTTTTTATTTTATGATATTACTTTTGATAGAGACAACTCACGTGCCAAACATAATCAGATTTTCGCCTTGGGGCGTATTCACCTTCATCATCTGCTTACTCCAAAGCAACGATATCCTTTCCTAGTGGCCGGTTAACTCTTGAAATATCGAAATCAAACAGTTTCTCACCTATAAGTTCCTCTCTAATGCAAGTAACCAGGGTCCGTAACATTTGACGTCCGTTATGCTCTCCACTTGGTGTGTGTGTGTGTGTGTGTGTGGGGGGGCTGGATTCTAACAAAACACAGACTAGCATGATATACCTATTGGGCGCTTTCTTCAAAGTCAGAAGTTGCCACAACACCTCTCAGGTATAGAAATACGGAAATCCACTGTGGTTACATTCTTTACTAAAAAGGAGGAGATACTCGCTTTCATTTGTGATATCTAGTGGTGGCTGAGTGGTGGGATGGTGGTCACCCACTTCATGGTATTTAGTTGGCTGCAATTTATCTGTATGCAGACAAACAGTACGAAAAGGTCACACTTTCCTCTGATTCCTAATTGTCTTCCTCTAAAAGCTTATGTCTAAAGGGAACAAATGCTTTAAACAGCGCCATCGCCAGGCATCTCCTCGATACAGGTCATAAGGTGGACGCTGCGAAATCGTTCAAAATTATCAATAGGCAAAAGAGCTCAATTCTCCTCAAGTTTGCTGAAGCCATTTCCATCAAGCTCCTGAAACCTGATTTATGCGTTCAGAAAGAAACAGTTATCAGTATTTTTTTGGCCTGGTAACTGGATATTTTGATCTCTCATCTGAACACGTAATACCGAAAAGTTTCCATTATGTATGATTATTATTGTTCGGAATATTGTTTAATTTTATATATATATATATATATATTTATATACATATATAATTATTGTATGCATATATTAATTGATCGATTTTTATTTAAAAATGAACTCTGTGCAAGTATATTAAAATTGTTTCTGTAGATATACTTAATAATGACTTTGGCTTGTAAGCAGCTGATGAGGAGGCGACAAAATAAATGATGGTACCACTTTATTCTGCAAAAGCTGTAGTTCTTGCTTTGTTCAAATAAATTTGTTTATTGGATATATCAAATATTTTACTTTAGATTCGTAAATAATTAGTAGTGTTACGACATTCAATGAAGTTTGATGTCCGGTTGTTTCTTGAACATTTGTTCAATCTGATTATTTCTAAAAAAATTTATCATAATTGTTTGTTTTTTCTACTTTGCATTCATTATGTCATCATCCGCGTTAGTGGTATAGCGGTTAGGACACTCGCCGACCATGCACATGCTTCGGGGTTCGATCCCCGACCGACACGCAGACCTGATATCAATAGTCGGCCTGCTAAATTTGGACTACCGATATCACATGCTGAAAATTACATACCTATATCAAAATATTGTATAGAATCAAGCTATAATAAAATAAATAAATAATATGACTATATTAGATAAGAAAAAGGCACAAACAGCGAAGAAAATTTTCTTTTCGACGATTCATTTTCATGAGCTGTACAATCGTAATTATAATTAACACAAAAATTTTTTGACCAATCAGATACTGGTAAACTTTGTCCTTGAAAACTCTACTACATAATGTGAGGTGTAAGAAGGGATGACTAATTGTAAGTTAGATAGGAGACAGAAGTTAGCATGTCTTAACAAGTGTGAGATAATGACTAATCAATAAGCTCGTGTAGAATGGACAGGAACTAGTGGAAAGGCTATAAAGTAGTTTTGTATAAGATCTGTGTAAAAAAGCAATGTTATTAATAAACAGTAATGGAGTGGTAATAAAATGTGGATGATGGGAATAGTAATAATAATAAAAGTATTAAGAACAGTATAATAATAATAATAATAATAATAATAATAATAATAATAGTGAACTTACATATTAAAAGAGAGGAGCAAAATTATAGTAAGAAATTTACTTTGGCTATGGTAGGGTCAGAGAATGTATGTATCGTTTTTGTATGCAGAAGTCCGGTTTTAAGTCTCGAATAGCTAATGCCTCAGCTATGTACAGATGTCGTATCCGGAGTCCTTTTGTACGATATTGAGGAACTCGGTGTACCACTGTGAAGCATTCATGTGGGGGTGCTCGATGTCCGGAGATGACAAGGTGTTCGAGGATTGAGCTGTTGCTATTCTTCTTTTCTCCTCTGGTTAACCAAGCTGGGCAATGTTCCAGGATACGTTTGTGGACTTGACGTTGCGTACGGCGATATACTTTGCTCCACATGGGCAAGTAAATTGATAAATGCACATTGAAGTGGCTAAAAGCGGTATCTTGCCCTTAACGTTAGACTGGATTAACTGTCTGCAGGAGAATGTTATACGTAGAGTGGCTGTTAGGAATGTCTTCTTCAGACTTTTTGAAAGGCGGTTTTTGAGAATTTCCGCTGCGATGTCACCTTTGAATTCTAGGTTCATGAAGAGAGTCTTCTTAGGAACCGTTGTGATATTTGACACCGGAGGCTTCTCCTTCATATTTTTGTCGATGAATCTTGGTGGATACCCATTCTCTAGTAGGGTTTCACGCAATAAATTTAATTCTTTCTTTACCGTGTCTTCCGAGCAGATTTTTCTAATCCTTGAGCACAATGTACGTACCAAGTTTCTCTTTCGGATCAGTGGAACAAAGCTCTGGAAGTTGATAAACTGTCCAGTCCATGTTGGCTTACGGTATATCGATCTTTGGATTGTACAGTCGTGTCTCCTGGTGAGTAGTACATCGAGGAATGGAAATGAGTTGTTCGATTCGCGTTCTAAGGTGAATCTTATTGATGGATGCGCTCCGTTGACGGTTTTGAAGAGAGAATCTAAATCACATTTTTCATCACAAATTATAAACGTATCATCTATGTATCTGTTGTATAAGTGCAGTTTACTTATCAAGGGATCGAGGGTGTTGTTTTCAAGACTTGCCATGAAACAGTCCGCTAGGAGTGGACCGAGAGGGACCCCATGGCTACTCCATCTTTCTGTACATAGAATTGTTCATTGAATTTGAACTGGGTATTGAACGTACATTTGAGAAGAAGTTCCTTCAGGTAGTTCACACAGATCTTATACAAAACTACTTTATAGCCTTTCCACTAGTTCCTGTCCATTCTACACGAGCTTATTGATTAGTCATTATCTCACACTTGTTAAGACATGCTAACTTCTGTCTCCTATCTAACTTACAATTAGTCATCCCTTCTTACACCTCACATTATGTAGTAGAGTTTTCAAGGACAAAGTTTACCAGTATCTGATTGGTCAAAAATTTTTTGTGTTAATTATAATTACGATTGTACAGCTCATGAAAATGAATCGTCGAAAAGAAAATTTTCTTCTCTGTTTGCTCCTTTTTCTTATGACTCAATATGGGAATATTTCGTTCATTATATTAGATAATTTTATTTTGAAATATCACACAGTGATGCAGATGCAGTATTAACAACTGGATAACAAGATTTCGAGCATAAATTATCGCCACTCATAATCATATCAGTTTTAGTCACATGGTTTCATAATTTGTCTTATATGTAGCTTTCTCTCTCTCTCTCTCTATTCTGTCTCTCCAACTTCCCTTTGTCGTTTGTTGCCACTTGCAGTATCTCCAGTATAGGTCTTGCGTCATACTGATTGCACATTTGAGGTGTTGAATTGATAAACGATATTTCAGTGATTAACCTCTCTCTGTTTCCACCTAACTATATTACTTTTTAATACTTTCTCCCTGTCCAATCCACCCTATCGTTGTGTGATTACATGCAAGTGAATGCAGTCTGTCTGTTTTCGGCATTGAACTTCGCATCGATGTGGAGCAGTTCAAGTCACCACACTCCATGTAGCAGACAAAGCAAGAGAAAAAAGTTAGAAGAAATGCAAAGAATAAACATTAAACAGAGATATGAGGCAAAAAGAATAGTAATATCGAAGGTCAATATAGTTTCATTGGGTATTATGAGTCAGAAGGAGTGGATGAATCTGCCCTAGCCATTGAGAACGATTTCGAGCCATATCACTGATTGTCTCCAGCCATTGGTGTTTACCGTCCTGAGGACCCCAACCAGCCAGTCAGGAAGTCACTACCTCCCTACGTGGCTTAAACTAACTGTTGTGGATTTCATTGACTGATGAGGCCATGTTTTGGTTTGACTACCCCTGGCTGTTTTTCAATCTGATCCTATGCCAGCTAACATTGCTCGTCGGTCAAGGAAGGCGATGGCTAGGGATGCATACGTAACACATGTCCTCACCATCTCAATCGATGTGACTTCACAGCCTCGTCGATCGACTTCCCATTTTTACCTAGCACTAGACGCCTAACCCCAATATTGCTCACCCTATTATACCACTTCACACGTTATGGAGATAGAACGCAGGCACATATGATCAAACACAACTAGTCTTTTCACGTCCTCCATTTTCAGTGGCCAGGTCTCACAGCTATTAAAGAGGACGAAGCGGACTGCTGAGAATTACCCCCCCTCCCTTTGGTCCATAGCCAACCGGATATCACGTCTACGTCCAGAGACGGCGTAAACTGGCATGAGCGAAACTAGCCCTCTATATCCGTGCTGAGATTTCGTCAGACATCAATCCGTTGGGTCTGAATGCAGTTCAGTTTCTGATCTTTTTTTCGAGGTTATTTAAATTAGCAGTGTCAATTATTCTAGATCTCGATATATTTCTTACGTTCTAATAATCTAGTTGACCCCGATCTACTAGTTTGGCCTGCGTAATTGACCTCACAATCATTACATGGTATTTGGTAAATTATATTATTTTTCTTAGTTGTATCTGTTGGTTCCTTAAGTCTACCAAGTTTATCTCTTAGAGAGTTGGTTGGTTCAACCCCACCCTTTCAGAGATAAATTTTGTCGACTTAAGGACTCATAGATCCAATTAAGAAAAATAATATAATTTACTAGATACCATGTAATGACTGTGAGGTCAAACTAGTAGATTGGGGTCAACTAGATAGATCATTAAAAAATAAAAAATTAGCTAGACGTTAGTAAATGACCCTGTTAAGTTAAATAACTTAGAAAAGAGTTCAGTCATTGCAATACATTCACTTGCATGTGATCACAAAATACGATGGGTGGGACAAGGTGAGAGTATTAAGAAATAATATAGTTAGTTAGGTGGAGAGAGAGAGAGATATTAATCCCTGAAGCTTTGTTTATCTATTTAACACCACACATGAGCAATCAGAATTATGCAACACCGCCTATATCGGAGATATCGAAAGTGGTAACAAACAACAAAGGGGGGTTGGAGAGACAGAATAGAGAGAGAGAGAGAGGAAGCTACATATAAGACAAATTGTGAAACCATGTGACTAAGACTGATATGATTATGAGTAGCAATAATTTATGCTCGAAATCTTGTTATCCAGTTGTTAATACTGCATCTGCATCACTGTGTGATATTTAAAAGTAAACTTATCTAATATGGAATTACATTCGACCACCATAGTGCCCAAGTTCTACACTTACATTAATAATATGACTGTTCTCAGGTATTGGTTTTGTAGGGATTTTGTTTGGTTGCATGGAGGATTTCATCATGAGCTGACATCAGTTAGAGAACCACTGGAAAACCTGGGAGTACTGGACAGCTGTTTCCCCCGTCGTAGTTTGGGACTCTTCAGCAGTGCGCCCCACCGGGGGTCGAACCCGAGGACCTTCTGGTTACAAGGCTAGCGAGCTCGTAGACCATTGAGCCACTGGGACCCGATCCAGTGGTCCTTGAATTCTAACTTCTGCCATTTCACAACTTAGCGCGACCATTTTATTCGTCTATATGCCTTAAAAATACCCTGTGGAATTATTCAGTTGCTCTAATTAATACCACGTGATGAACTAAATGGCTTCGTGCTTTAACTACCAAGCTGCTTTCAGTCAATAGGTTTTTGGGTTTGACTCTCCAGTTAACCTAATTCAACTCAAGCAACTCTGTAGTATCATCATGTCTTACATAGTACATGTCCTTTATGGTTTGATAGATGTCGGTGGTGTAGTGGTAGATTACTCACCTCTCACGTCTGTGTTCCTGGTTCGATTCTAGGCGGACAAACGAAGGAAGGTTAGGAGGAGTGTGAGGTTAGCTACCAGACTCCTTAGAAAAACACCACTGCTGCCGAGACTTTATAGCTCAAGCTTGAAGCCTTATGTTCCATTCAGAAAGCAAAGGAATAAGGAAGAAATAGCTTGGTGTTTGAGGCTGTGTATGTATTCTAACCAGTCAGTGTAGTGTAATGTTGTATTTCACCGTTTAAACTTTTGCTGCCTTGTCGATTAACTCTTCAAAATCACTCTCATACTGTAACGAGAGAAGACAAGAGACTTGGTAACCGAATGTTTATTAGTAATTTGATGTACGCATATAAGGAAGTTATGTGCACTTTATATTGAAATCGTCATTTGCACACAGATATTAGCTGTTGTACTACTTCTGCCTTTCGTACTGTGTTTCCTTGACTTCTTCTCGTGTCTCCCATATTTTTCGGCAGTACTAGTTCATTTTCTCTCTTTGACGTCAAATCTACTACCTCGCTATTCCATATTTTTATCCCGATGAACGTCTTTTATATACTACTAATAAATCGTATCAGTAGTACACGCCAGAATACTATTACCATTGACTTGTTTGTTTGTTATGATTTTTTTTATTATAGGACATACAATAGGTTGTATGACTTTAGTATTACATTCTGCTGGTATTGCATTTACTGGTGATGCTTTACTGATTCGAGGTTGTGGAAGAACAGATTTTCAAGGTGGATCAGCTGAAACACTCTACGAATCAGTACATTCACAAATTTTTAGTCTTCCAGATGATTATATCTTATTTCCTGCACATGATTATTTAGGCAATACGATGACAACTGTTGGCGAGGAGAAAGCACATAATCCTCGGTAAGTTGTTATGGTAACGTATTACTGTTATTTAATGATTGGCTGACTTTCTGACTGACTGAGTTCGAACTTTGCATAGAAGGGCAACTTGTCATACCGTTTGTAGCACACAAAGGTACGAGGAACAGAAGGGATTCATGTGAATCGTAATAAGCACGGGAGAATGTACGGGAGAAAAATTAGTAACCTGGAGAAACTTGAGGAGTTTATTGTATATAGGAGATTACATAGGTTGGACAATGGGAGGAAAGCAAAACGATGAAGGTGAGTGATTGTGGTGGGCGGTCGTTACTTTCCTGCAAACCTACACCGTGGAAGTTGGTTTCTTCCTAGTGTACCTAAAACAAGAAGGGAACTAGTGTTGCGTGACTCCATAGCCTAGAGAACAATCACTGGAGGCCTATTTGAATTAGTTTCTGGAGTTGCCTCCATACTAAGTATTATGTACTAGTTCTCCCCGTCGCCAAATTATTGTTATGTACTGGTCGAGAATTTAATAGTCCTGACACAAGAAAGACGGAAATCAGAAGACCACTAGGTTTGCGATGATACTTCTATTTTCCAAACACAAGGAGAATCAATATGTCCCACAAGAGTGTGAGAGCAAAAAAATACAAGAATGTTCGAACAAGCGTGTGAACACAAGTGTGAGAGCGAATATTCAAAATGAACAAATCAATGGACAGTCTTAACATGATTGGCTAATTATAATGGAATATCGATCCATGTATACATACCAAAATATATCAGACTGTCAAACAAACACACATATTATATGGATATATATCACTAAGCTGTTACTGCTAGCTATTGATGGCCGGAAAAGTAAGTCGATATGTACCGTTTTTTAGGTTGACCTTCTGTAACTCCTCTTCTCCGGAGTGAAAAGACAGTATAACTGGGTTACCGTTTACCTGAGGAAAACAGCATCCTGGTGTTACATCCCGTCCGCCAGTATTATCCACAGGCTTCTAACATAGTTTGACTAACTTACATAATTATGGTAACTACTACCTTACCTTCCTAGCAGAACATAAGGCCGCAGCAGTCTCTCTCCATTGCACTCGGTTATCTTCCATCACTTTCACCTGACGCAATGACTACCTACAGGTTTTCATTTTCATTCTCCTTCGCAAATTAATCTTCTCCATGACACTTTTGAACACTCAACCTAATGGTTTCTATTCGGTTTCTACTCATGGACATGACGTGTGATGTCACTTCAAGGTCTGTTTCCTCAGTACATATCCAATCCATCTTGATTTCCTCCTTCTTCTGGGCGTCGTTAGCTGGATTTATCTGCAAATCTCAGTGAACAATAGTGTTCCCATTGAAACCCGAATCCTTTATATCTTTCGTTTTAAATACCAGAGCGTTATCCACTAGGCCTTACTGAGCCACAATAACCGCCTCTTGAAGTATATTTTCACACAGATCGTTGTATTTCTGTCCAATAAAGACACTAGTCAGTGAGAAATTCAATATAATTTCAAGAAGTGATTTGAATCAAATTTATCCTCTATCTAGAATAACGATTATAATCATTGTATATGCTCGAAAAAGATTTAAGTAATGCTTTTTAAAATCATTTATTAATAATTAAAACTCAAACTTGGTACATTATAGGCACCAAGAGATGTGCCACACAAATCTGTCTCATAGTTTGTGCAAGTAATAGGATACTGGCCGGGTTTCTGAATCGAAGTAAGGTGTTATCATTTGGATTTTTTCCCTAAGCTAATTGTTATTGCATTACACTACCCGGTTTGTTTTGAGACTAAAAAACACTACAGCGTTAAACGAAATCCTTTGTGATTAAATGGATGAAAAGTATATCTCACGTTCTGTAATAAATAGCTTCAGGTAGAGTGAAACTTCCCCTGTCAGTTGAAGCATTATCATGCTTCAGGATTATTACTGTATTATTATTGTTCCCTTGGGTTCCTAGTGGAAGATAGGGCTTAAACTGCACGTCTCCACTTGCTTCTGTCTTCTGCTGTACTTTTCACCTGCATCCATGTTAGTCCATACTGTTTCATTTCCTCTTCACACGATCTCCTCCATGTCACCCTTGCACTGACGTCCCACTCGCCGCTTCCCTTTCGGTTCCACTCGAGCAATGGCCTGACGCGCGATGTCACCCAGCGGCGGCCTCCTCAGCGAGTGTCCATTCCATCTCCACTTTCTCCTGCATATTTGTTGGTTGGCGATTGGTTCTTGCTTTGTTTGTTCCCATAATTCCTTGTTGGTGATTCTTTCCGGCCATCTGATCTTCAGTATAGAGTGGAGAAAGCTGTTAATAAAGGTCTGCAGCCTTTTGGAAATATTCTTTGTGACCCGCACCCCAAGTTTCTGATCCGTATAGAAGAACTGACTGGCTTGACGTTTGTATTGAAAATCCGACTGAATTTTGTTGTTGATGCTGAGTGACGAAGATTTCCAGATTGGTTTTAAGTTTGATATGTATCCACATATATATTTATGTGTGTGTGTATGTTGGTCTCTCTTTCTGTTTGCTCGGTTAGTCTGTGACCACTTCACTTGTATGAACCTGTCTCCTTTAACAACGTATATTCCATTTATATTATATATAATATGAGTGTTTGTTGACAGTCCGTTGCTTGGTGACATATATCCATATATGGTTGTTCACATGTCTGCTATATTCGCTATGTATATTTGGATCGACACTCCATTATAATTAGCCATTCATGTTAAGACTGTCTAATGATTTTTCCCACGCTTTGTCTGGAACAATTATATATATTCGCATTCACAATTTGTGTGAACTACTTTACTTACTTGTCATTTTGGTGTGAGACCATTTATTTTCGTCTCCTTGTGTTTGGACAATAGAAGTATCATCGCAAACCTAGTGGTCTTCTGATTTCCGCCTTCTCGCGTCAGGACTATTAGTTTCTCGACCAGTCCATAACAATAATTTAGCGACGAGTACATAACAAAGTTGATGAATGTATCTCTCGCCTTCCCGATTCTTGCTCGATTTGACGTCCTCGTCCGTTCCGACTACCTGTAGTTGAGACAATGCTCCCTAGATAAGTGAATAAAGTGACCTCTTTCAAATCCCTTCCGTTGGTGGTGATTGGCGTTGGATGTCGTTGCTGTTGTTGGTTGGTTATTTTCATAACCTCCGTCTTGTCTATGTTCACATGGAGTCCTGTCTTCGCCGGCTGCTTCTTCGACCAGTTTGTCGGTTTTCGCTTGTAAGTCTTCGATTGTGTGTGACATCAAACATAAATCATCCGCGCGCGAAATCCAGGTCTTCTAGGTTCTTCGCGTCGGTCCAGGATATTCCTATCTTCTCGTTTCACACTGTCTGACGCATAATCCAGTCAGTCCACCACAATTAGGAATATCATTGATGATAATAAGCACTCTTGTCTGACTCCTGTGTTTACTCCAAACGCCTCGCTGGGATTTCCGTTGTGGATCACTTGACATGTTCCGTTGTCGTACAGCCGTTGAATAAGGTTGATGAATATTTGGGCGCTGCACGCCGTAGTACTCGAGTAGTTTCCAAATTACTTCACGATCAACGCTGTCGAAGGCCTTCTCAAAGTCTATAAAGTTGAGGTAGAGGTTTGATTGCCATTCAGGGTTATGCTTCAGGATTAGTTTAGTTTAAATATATGGAATGAAATGGTTCAATGTCATGTCTATTTCATCTATCTGTAGGTAGCGTTGATATATATATATATACGAGAAAAACGATCTTTCATTCACTTCCTGTCACCTTTCACAGTTTAGGAAGCTTCATTTATCTTCAGCTAACTAATTCTCATCTTTACATCCATGTTTATTCATTGTAGCGTTATATTGTATTTATGCTCTGTTCTTTTTGAAGATTTGGGGGGAAATCGTCTTATTCAAATGTTGGTTTTTGGGGATTTGATTGGTTACAGGACTTCATCATAAGCTGGCATCGGTTAGAGGATCATTGGAAAACCACGTAGCAGTAGTGGACAGTTGTTTCGTCCTAGCTTGAGACTCGTCATCAGCTTGTGATGAAATTCTGTAACCGATCAAATCTCTGCAAACCACACTTGAATATCAATGAGATGCTCACTAGCGACTAGCCCTATTCAGGTAGAGCTAGTTATCTGGGTTCTGTCTGTCTGTCTGTTTTCGACATAGAACTTTGCACAAATGTGCGGAAGTTCAAGTCGCCACATTCCGTGTAGCACGCGAAGCAAGAGAAGAAAGTACAAGAAAAGCATAATAGAAACAGTGAGCAGAGGTGTGAGACAAAGGAGTAATAAAGAAATACAAAACAGTTTCATTGGAGATCATAAGTCACAGGGAGTGGATGCATCTGCGCCACTGAGAACGATCACTTTGAGCCATGTCACCAATTGTTTCCAACCATAGATTTTTACCGTCCCGAGGACCCCAGCCTGGAAGTCTACACCTTCCTACGTGGCTTAGACCAACTGTTGTGGATTTCATTGACTGGTGCCAAGTTTTTGTTTGACCGCCGCTAGCTTTTTTCCAGTCTGACCCTATATCCGCTAACATTGCTCGTCGAGGGAGGCGATGGCTTGGCATACGTAACACATGTCCTAACCATCTCAGTCGATGTAGCTTCACGACTTCGTCGATTGATTTCCCCTGTTTACCTAGAACTCTACGCCTAACCTCCATGTTGCTCACCTTATTATGCCACTTTACACGGGAAATAGAACGCAGGCACCTATGATCCAAGACAGCTAGTCTTTTCATGTCTTCCACTCTGAGTGGCCAGGTCTCAGGTCTGGGTTCCAGTGAAAAGTCTTGACAAGTGGGGTACAGCAGGTCGAGTATGAGAACAAATACTAGCCAGCGATGACATTGGCTAGTGCTTACATTATATCGTGAATTGTCAGCAGTTGGAATTCATGGGCTGGCCACTGAATCGGATCCTTGTGGCTTCTGATGGTCTGCGAGCTCTCCTTGTAACCAGGAGGTCCTGGATTCAAACCGCGGGAGGGGGGCGTACTGCTGAAGCAGAGTCCCAAACTTGGAGGGAACAAGAAGCTGTCCAGTACTCTCAGCTGGTTTTCCAATGGCTCTCTAATCGATATCAGTTCATGATAAAATCCTGAAACCATCTTATGTTATAAACTTGTTCGCGACTATATAAGGTGACTTCATTATAGCAGCCCAAAACGAAACTACCTAATAAAGACCTTGAAAACCTCTATCGACCAATCAGACGCGTCCGAAACAGAAGTGCATAATTTGAAAAAGACGTTTATGCAACGTAAGGCAACGTTGAAAAGTAGTTACATAGAATAACTTTCTTTTGTATATGTTCCGCGAAAAGCTTCCAATTTCTCATTGAAGTCCTCATAGTTAGGTTAAACTAATTTCCGTTCATAAATTCCTCGAGATAACTGCAAATCATCGTGTTTCTTGACTCATTCACCTATTTGATCCTCTTTTTTTAGGTTATCCTAGAAACTCTTGAAGGAATTTGTATGAGTCTCGTCGAAAGGAATAACGAAATCATCCGTATGACTCACCAGATTGCGAATATACCCCAGGGATGACAGTTGGCTACACGTTTTCTCCCTTCCAATGAGTGTCTGTTGTCTAAGTAATGTTTAAATACGAGATTTGGATAAAATTTGTTACATAATTCATGTACAACACCCATAATTCCGTGGACTCATCTGATTGGATGCTCAAGGTCATTAATTCGTTCACTAGGTAGTTTCGTTTTGGGATGTTGTAGTTTGGAGTCACTGCCATACAATTTATAGTATTGTTGGAGGATGGAACTTGTGATACATATAAATATAAGGTAATGAGTCAAATTTAATGTCTAACGGTCTGCTTGGTCTTTCAGTTAGGAGCACATAGAAGAACCAGGTGTACATTAAAGACTAAATGTATATAGATTAAGCGTTTATGTCAATCAACCATATAACCAATTACTAATCAAGTTTCATTTAGTTATCACTGTAATTTTTGTAAAAGAGCAATAATAATAATAATAATAATAACAACTGTCGTATAAATTCCAGTGTAGACAGGTGTTTCGTTGGCTTATTATTATGATGTTATTGTTTCCTTTAATTCTTAGAGGAACATAGGGCTTCAGCTGCACGTCTCCATTGCGTTCGGTTCTCTGCTAAAGTTTTCACCTGGCTCCAGGTATGCCCACATGCTTTCATCTCCTCTTCACATGACCTCCTCCAAGTCACCCTCGCACTAACGACCAACTCGCCGCTTCCCTTTCGGGTTCCACTCGAGCAATGGTTTGTCTAGTGATGTCACTTGATGGTTTCCTCAGAGTATGGCCAATCCACCTCCAGTATTGAGCGAAGGCAGCTGTTGATGAAGGTCTGTAGTTTATTTGAGATGCTATTCATGACGCGGCGCCAAGTCTCTGATCCGTATAGTAGCACTGACTTCACGTTTGAGTTGAAAATCCGGATCTTAATTTTGATGCTGGGTGCTGTTGACCTGCACACAGACTTAAGAGTAATGAAAGCTTGTCTCGATTTCCCGATAGATCCTTGCTTTGATATCCTCGTTGGCTGAAGCACTCGAATTCCAGTTCTTACAACACAATGTATAGTTTACAGCTCCGTAGTGTGTAACCCTGTTCTAACCAAATTTTAGTCATACTTCAGTATTCCAGTGTCGATTTTGTCATGAGATAATTTTGTCAGTCAGAGAATCATTAAAAAACCAGCAGACATCCTACTGACTTGGAACTATTCAGTAGTGTATACCCACGACTTCTTCGACAGAGATCGAACCTAGGGCCTTCAGATTACGAGGCCAAACTCGTTGACCAGAATTCAATGGCCCAGTGAATCCTAACTTTATTATCAGTTCGTGATACGTAGCTCTCTATCGTGTCAGTCAATGATTCTCTCCAACTGTGATGTTGGTTCTTCACATTAAAAGATAAAAAAATTAATCCAAGTTCCTACAAAATATCCCATGATCTGAATATTAGTCAGTCTCGTTTTTCTATATATATATATATGCGCGCGCATATGTACATTCCTTTTTTACTTGTGATTTTTAGACTTACAAAATCCAAACAAGAATTTGTTAAAGTTATGAATGAATTAAATCTACCGAAACCAAAACAAATGGATCGTGCTATCCCGCTAAATTTGAAATGTGGTGTCAATGATGAATAGAGGAGACGCATTCATATTATTTGCTACACACATCAGATTGACTGGTTGATTTCATTCTTGTTATTCAAATAATTTACTATTTAATAATTTTAATATTTATTTATTTTTAGTTTTTTTTGATTTCGTATAGTTTTCGATTTATTTCTTCTCTTTTTTTAATTTGTTTTAATTTATCTGTGTGAATTAATGATTTCGCTGAGTTATTACTTATCAGTGATAAAGAATGAGAAATGAGCAATGCCTCTTTTTTGATCCGATCGTATGCAATACTCAATTTGTCTGTTACTCCTGGTTGCTTACTTCTTACACATGTCTTGACATTATATTTTATACTCAAAATATATGATTTGCATTTGATGATTTCTGTTCTCGCGCCACCAACCCTCCCTCCCACCTATACCCGCCCCCATACTTTTCTTTTGTTTTTTTATTGTTGTCTTGTTAATCAATGGGGGAAATTTTTATTTTCTTATCTCCTGTGATTGACTTTCAGCAACTTTTTCTTCTTTGATCCATGTCATACTGATGATGATGATGATGATCTAACTTCATCTTGCTTTTTCTCCTCGATATCTTTCAACTTATAGGCACCTGTTTTATGTCATATTACCAGTGCTAATAATGCGCCATTATGATTAGTGATTGACTGCCATATTCAGCTTCCTCTGTTTGTTTGTTTTTTATAATATAAAAATTTTTGATGAATATATATTATTTACCTTATTTTTATAGTTGTTATTATTTTTTTGAGTGAGAGTAACTTGTGGTGTAGCGGTGCAGACTGATAGGAAGTCGCCAAAACTGAAATCAACGTATTAAGTCAATGGTTGCGGGGGAGGTAGATTTAGTTTACGTTGTGGACATGAGACAGTTTGAAATAATGGAGAAGATTTGTAGCTCAGATGGGATGACATTGAATTAATTGTGTTCAGCATGCGATTGGCTCCCGTCAAATGTAAGATGATCCTACATTGACTTCTAGCGTACAGATAGGGGGTGAAGTGTTAGGTGGAGCTTGTTGGCCACTTCACTTATTTGGGGAATTGAATCAGCCCCAACGGGTTGATTACTGGTGAAATCTCAGCACGGATACATAAGGCTCATTTGGCATGTGCCTGTGAACTTACGCCATCTCTGGCTTAGTAGACGTGATATACGGCTGGCCTTATGAACTTGAACAAGACCATGCATCCTCTTGGGGTTATTAATTTTGGGTATTGGATTAAACCATTTATACTCACCTAGAAACGGTTTCATTATGGATATACGGTTTGCTGTGGATTTCTGTCTCCCGTGTTAAGTGTTATGATAAAGTGAGCAATATTGAGGTTAGGCATCGGTCGAGTGCTAGGTGAAGAGGGGAGATCAATCGACGAGGTTGTGAAATTAGACCGAGTGAGATGGTTTGGACATGTGTTACTCATGCATTCCTAGACATCGCCTTCCTTAATGGGGAATGTTAGCCGCTGATATAAAATGAATCAGGTTGGAAAAGAGTTAGCTAGTGGTGGTCAAAAGAAAACATGGCTTCATCAGTCAATTGCTAGTTTAAGCCAGCCACGTAGGGAGGTGTAGACTGACTGCCTGGTTGGGGTCCTCGGGATGGTAAAAGCCAATGGCGGTGACTGAAGACAACTGGTAATATGTCTGAAAATCGCTCTTTGGTGATGGCTGGCGCAGATGCATTCGCTCTTTGTGATTTATCATATCCAATCAAACTCCACTGTTCTCACATATTACTATTCTTTTTTCCTCACATTTTTGTTTATTATCTCTCTTTACTGTCTTCTCTTGCTTTGTGTGCTACATGGAGGGAGTGTGGTAACTCAAAGTCAGTCAGTGAGCCAGTTGGGTTTTCTTAGCTGGTTGATTTAATTGAGAGGCTTTCGTCATCCTTTTAGACAGCATCTTCCGCTTAAATGTTAGTATAAAATGAACTTGTTTAAATTCGCCATGAATGATCATGGGGAGACCATTCGATAACCTGATTGGACAACTGTTTAACCTTGAACTAGTCTTCAACCAATCAGAAAAAAATCATTGTCCGCTGAACTAACCAACTGTTAATGTTGCTGAAAATGTATAAATGCGATGTGTTTCGCCCTAATAAATATAATCCGTTCACAATTCTATTATCTCCCCTCATTACAATGGCACTAGATTTGTCAGGTGAATTGGTTTCAGAGTAAAGTGACAACCGGCCGTCGATAGTAGAAGATATAATGAGAAGGTTAGCTGTGTTTGAACACAAATGTTTGTCTTCTCTCTTCTGTGTTAAATGGTATGGTATGATAAGCAGTATTGAGGTTAGGAGTAGAGTACAGCTACAACGATTGAGAAGGCTAAGACATGTGTTACATATTCCAAGTCATCGCCTTCCTCGATGAGCAATATTACCTAACTTAGTGTTGGGTTGGAAAAGAATAAGACAGGGGTAGTTGAATGCAAATCTGGAATCAATCGATGTTGTCTTTAACTGACTGTCAGTTTAAACCAGCCACATAGAAAGGTGTAAACTGCCTAGTTAGGTACCTCGAGATTCTAAGTACCAATAACTGGAGACTATTACTGAGATTGCTCAAAATCGTTGTCAATGAATGTGGTGCAAATGTATTCACTGTTTATAATCCCCCAGATCCACTGAAAGCTCATGTTAGTATTCTCCCACCCGTCCATTTATGCTCATTATTATTCTTTCCCTCTTTACCTTTGTTTGCTACATGGAGTGAGATAAGCTGAACTGGTGCACTTCTGTGTAAAGTTCTATTTTTAAACCGAGTTAGTCAATTAAAGTGACAAAGTATGTGTGTGTGATGTATGGCTTGAAGAGTTGAGTGCACGAAGAATTTTATTTCTTAAATTATTTGATGTATTTTGTTCTTACTGTTCAATGTAACTAGGATACACATGGTGCAGTTTCTTAAGTGTTCAACTGACAGGATTTTATTATACCTAACTGCCTGACTTTGCACAAATGTGCAGCAATTCGAGTTGCCACACTCCCTCCATGTAGCACACAAAGCAAGAGAAGACAGTAAAGAGAGATAATAAACAGAAATGTGAGGAAAAAGGAATAGTAATATATGACAACAGTGGAGTTTGATTGGATATGATAAATCACAAAGAGCGAATGCATCTGCGCCAGCCATCACCAAAGAGCGATTTTCAGCCATATCACCAATTGTCTCCAGCCACCTCCATTGGTTTTTACTATTCCGAGGACCCCAACCAGGAAGTCTACATCATCCTACGTGGCTGTCTGACTCAAACCAACTGTTGTGGATTTGGTTGGTGTTTTGGTGTGACCACCACTAGCTAACTCTTTTCCAACCTGATTCGTCCTATGTCAGCGGTTAACATTGCTTATCGAGGAAGGCGATCGATGTTTAGGGATGCATGTGTAATGCATGTCCTAACCATCTCAGTCGATATAACTTCACAACCTCGTGGATTGATTTCCCCTCCTTACGTAGCAATCGACTCCTAATCTCAATATCGCTCGCCCTATTATACCACTTCACACTGTAGGGAGATAGAACACAGGCACGTATGATCAAAGACAACTAGCCAGTCTTGTCATGTCTTCCACTTTCAATGGCCGGGTCTCACAACAATAAAGGAGGACGAAGCGGACTGCTGAGCAGTGCACACACCCTTTGGTCGACAGCCAGCCGGATATCACATCTACGCCAGAGATGATGCGGGTTGGCAAATGCCACACGAGCCTTCTGTATCCGTGATGAGATTTTGTCAGTGATTAGCCCGTTGGGGCTGATTCAATTCCTCAGATAAGTGAAGTTGTCAGCATGTTTCACCATTCATTTCCCTCCTGCCTATCTCTAAGATAGGTGTCAATGTAGCATCATGTTACATTTGATGGGAGAGAATCGCATGTCAAACATTCTCAGATTGCACCTCAAGGTGTTCAGAAGACTACATTTTGTCCGTGTCTTCACCTAGAAGGACTATATCATCTGCATTTTATAAGTCAACGAGATTGCTTCCTGGTAAGATGACAGTCTCTGAGACTCTGAAGTCAGTTTGTAGCTACTACCGGCCTTTATAATATTGGGCAAACACGTGGTAAACTCTCTTTTTTGGTTTCTGTGCGTCTTCTTTGAAGTGGATGAATGGTTTAATTTTGAATGTTCTTCTGGAAGACAACGTCTTCAGCGGTAACTCCAATGGGCGAAGTGAGCTTTGGGAATTCACCATGGGTGAATTTTTTTCTCATGTTGTTTACCTTCATTGTGATTGCTTATTCCTTCAATTGAAACGTCTAGCACAAGGAACACAGTAACATCAAGGATATACACATGAGCGACAAGTCTTCTTCAATATTTCAAAGCTTACCCGGTATTTTGTATGCGAATCTGTTAAATATAGTGGGTAATCTAGCGGCACAGTTTATACCTGCCATCAGGCCTTGATATTGAATAGTGACGTCGATTGTTTTGCCAATCTGATCAAGTTGTGGATAATACCTAGTCAGCTAAACACTCATCTTGGTTTGATAACTTCTCTCCCTAAATGTATATCACATTTCTTTGCCAACCAAAGGGTTATTTTTGTTTTGCCATCTTACTCTTTCTAGCTGACATCATTGGGTTATCTTTTAAGATAAAATAAGCGTACCAGAATCATTATTGCGTCATCTATGCAGTTGAATTTTAATTGATTTGACTCTACGGCATGCTTCTGCTTTTAGCAACGTGTCGTAGATTTTGTTTACATGCGTGTCACGTTTTACTGCTTCACATTTTGCTTATGTTGTTGATTGTTTAGCGTAATGAAATATTTTTCGTGTTTATATTATATCAGCTGATTTTAAAAAAATGTAATGCAATGCAATTGTGATCGAAATGTTCTTACAATTCTGCTTTAGTCTGTGTTTCTAAAGTATAAATTTGAAGGTTTCTAAGTCTTCTGGTGTTCACACTTTCGGGTGATCATAGTATGCCTATTTCATCCTTCTACACCCTCAGTGTACTTAGTCGACG